TCTTACAGGTATATAGTCTTGTCTAAGATGATACCTTGGACAAACACCACAAAGAAACTAACATGCGGAATGAAATAAGAAATGCAACTAGGAACTAAAGAAAACAGAATTAGAGACAAAGAGAGAGAATGTCCTACAAGTTAATCTTGAAGATTCACAGATTTATGAAAGTAAATAAGGAGATTATAAAACTAGCAGTGAGATTTAATCCATATTTGTTGAAATTTGTTAGGTATAGATGTAAGCATAGAATATAATATATTTCGTTAAGATTTTGTTTTTGTTTTTATGGTAAATCTAAAAGTATTTAGATAATTCTTAATTAGAGACAAAGCTTGTCAGTAGTTGTCAAAGTTTGCCAGTAGATTTGAAAATCAAAAATATTAGAACCTGACTTAAACATTAAGAAATTCACCAAGGATTTTAAAAACATTAAAAAAGTATAAATTCAAGCGCCAAAACTTTTTTATCCAAAAAAGTATATCGTGTAAACACATTAAAGGGCAGAAGCTCAAAAATAGCTATTAATAAATAAATAATGAGGTATGAATTATAGCTTTGCTGGATTTGGAAAATTAAAATACCTTGCAATTCATTGACACCAATAAGAATGAAAAATATATACTTATGAATAAGGGTAATTATATTATCAATTGTAATTGTATGGAATTTGAAGAATGCTTAATTTCGAGAAAATTCTCAGTAAGACAAGTTGTTGCTTAAGAGAAACATAAATGTGATCTCAAATTCAAAAGTTAATCAATATCTGGGAAAAGAAGATATTTTGCAGCAGATCACGAATCACAAAGAATATTTTTCTCCAAGAATTATATATGCTATTCAAATCTATCCGAGTTATAAGTATAGTTTGGGGTACTAATAGTTAATTTATTTTTGTTATCTCCTCTTTCACAGCATACTAGTGTGAGGATCCCTTTGATAGCTCTTGATTCAGGAATCTCTGTCCTGAACCATTTGCATCCTCTCCTACCCCATTTCAGCCTTCTTTTGTCAAAGGTCTCCTGGATTGCACATTCCCATGTCGTTCTTGGTCTCTAACCTACCACTTTTGTTCCATATATGGCCTTCACCAATCGGTTTTCTACCATTCTAGGAACATGGCTAAACCATCTCAGCTGATGTTCCTCGATAATATCCTCAGCTGGCTTAAGTCTCAGATTTGGTCTCATTGTTTAATTTCGAACTCTGTCTCATCTTGTCTTTTCCTCTATTGTTCACAAGTATAGCATCTCTGTAGCTTCAAATTGGCTTTTTTAGTTATGTGATGAGAGCCCAAGATTTACTAGAGTAGGTGAGAATTCGTAAGGTCGTTTTAAAAATTACCTTTTGTTTTTTGACACATTTTTTTTCCTGATAAAACTTTTCTTAAGGGAAGTGAAACATCTGCTGGCAGCTTTTATTATTTAATTATTTCTCCATCCATCTGTTCAGGAGAATACCATATTTAAAATCCTTACTAGTTCTAACCTTGTATGGTTCAGTCTTACAATTTCCCCGCTAGCTTTACCTTACTATTCTCATGATATTTGTCTTTGCTGCATTTATGGTCATGTTGATAGCTTTTAATTCTTTTTGTGGAATTTAAGGTTCCTGCAGTTGCTTGTGAATACGATTAAGAGGTGCATTAAAGGATGGTAAAGTCCAACTTCTACCTCTATATGGTTCCCCCAGAAACGCTCTTAAGATAGGCTAACAGAGACGGCAAAGTCCCAAACAAAGAACAAGGATCAGAAGAGATTATTGTCTCTGGGTGAGACATGAGATAATTAACTGCTGTTACAAGCATTGAGGCAGAAAGAGCGTCTGCCTGACCACTCTAAGAAGGTAACCCGTCCATCAGACTTTAGGATCAGTAAGCCCATAAACCTCTATTCTGAGAGTAAATCATATAAAAGGACAAGCAAGAAATACAGTTGATCAGCCATTATGATTGAAGACATGGTGTGGAAAACAGTTTATAAGATAGGGAACATAGAATGTTTAAGGTATAACTGGACTTTTTTTAACAGTTTTGTGTACCAAAAACAACTATTTTCAAGAATAGTGGGCTCCCTAGCAATAAACTTGCTTAAGAGATGAACGAAGGTGAACACCAATGGGTCTTTTTTTATTGTGATTGGGACCATACCGGAGATCGGTCACCTCCAAATACTTCAGATCATGTTGAGGATGCAATACAATGTATGATCGATATGATTTTGACCCACCTGCTAACTATACATGACACTCGTGAACTAATACCCAAACTGCATTAAGGAATGTTAAGCCCTAAAGATAATTAATAACAGCTAGATAGACATAACAAAACATTATCATAGACCTAAGGAAATATTAGATAGGGCCAATTAGAAGATGTGGAGAGTGATAAGAGATATCTGGGAGAGATAAAGACCCATAGCAAGACAATATTTTTCAGATTGATTTTTTTCCAAGAATGAACAATCAAAACTACTGTTAGCCAAAGGAATTAAACAATAAAGTACTTATGGATTATTTTTTTTATCTATAAGTAGATAAATGTACCTGAACAAGTTTTAGTAATATTTACAAAAAAAAAAAAATTAACTTCAAAACTCATAATTTACAAAACTACATTATACCTAGGTTCTGCCATAAATACTGTTACAAAAGTTGAACTTTGTTTACATTCTTTGGGTATTATTTAGATAATCCTTAACTCTATAATTTTATTTTATTTACATATCAGGATAATAATGCCAATTAGTTTGTATTTTTCTTTCGCTCAGTTAACATGAAGTGGGGTAATAAAGAAAACCGAATAGCTGTGATCGCTTTAAGTTGGAAAATGTAAGTCAGAGATTTTCAACACTTTGAAACCTTTGAGTATCAGCCGTATGTTCCGTGTACCGCACTATAAACAGATATAATAAGACCCTATCTGTATGTGACAGACCTCGACCGGGCCCGCGCTGTGAGAACGGCAAATGTAGTGAAAGCAGTGGCTGCTGAAATCAGAAGAAATCCCATTTGAAAATAACAAATCGTGTCTCAGGAAATGGGAATCTCTGTCAGATCAACGTCTCACATAATAAAAAGTGACCTTAGGATGGGTGCATTTCAAAGAGTGACAGGACAAAGGCTCTAAAAAAATTAGAGTGGATAGATGCAAAGTGCTCCTTGGATGTTACACCAATGGTCTTCATCGAAAGATTTTGTTTAGCAATGAGAAAATTTTTACAATTGAAGAAAAATTTAATCACCAAAATGATCGTGTGTATGCACACAGCTCTATAGAAGCCCCGGAAGTCATTGGAAGAGTGGAAAGAGGTCATCACGCTTCCACAGTGATAGTTTGATAGGGAGTTTGCATTGAAGGTACAATAAAGCTCCATTTTTGTGAAAAAGGAGTTAAAACAGCCGCTAAAAACTGTCAGGACAATCTTTTGGAACCTGTTGTCAAGGTTCTAAATGATACTCTGTTTGCTGGAAGCAGGATTCCACTCCAGCTCACAAGTGCAGGTCAACTCAGCAATGGCTGCAAAGGAACATTCCAGAGTTCATCTCTGCCTCGGATTTGCCCTCAGGAAGTTCTGATCTTAAACCCACTAGATTATTGGCTTTGGTTCAAACTGGAGAGGATGGCATGCCACAGAGCACACCTTAACTAGGAAAGCCTCAACAATCTCTGGTCTGAGCAGTTGAGTGCTTTCCTCAAGGAGTGCTGCACGCTGCTATTGATGACTGACCACGGAGATTAAATGACTGTGATAAGGCAAAAGTGGACATTTTATTTTTTTTTTTTATTTTAGTAATTTATTTTTGTTTTACTCTAAGTTTTTGAAAAAATTAATTTTTCTGTTGAAATCTGTATATATTTCCTTGTAAGAATATTTATGACAGGACTAGGTAATATAGAGCAGGGGTCTCCAAATTACGAACTGCAGGCATCTCCAGTCCAGCCCGCGAACGTTTCTTTGATTACATACTAAAATTTTAAAAACTATCTAAATACATGAAATTTAGCAGATTACTCAAACGAGAGGTCACTACAACATTTATTGCATGTTTTTTTTTTTTTTGTAATTTTTTCTCTTAGAAGGCTCATTTAACAATAGTGTCATTTATAGAATAAGACTTTCATTTTTATCAAATCCAACTAAGCCATGGCCCACAGGACTTAGGTCAAGATCTTAATGCAGCCCAAAGGACTTAGAGGAGGTCTTAATGTTGCCCATCGGCCAAAATTTTTGGATACCCTCTGATGTAGAGCAACGTTACAATATGATTTTTAGACAAAACAAGTTTAAATGTGTTTTCTCTGTAAACATTAATTAGTCATTGTAAAAGATAAAACTACATATAAGAAAATGAGAACCTAAATGTTAAATTTAACTTTTTTTAGAGAATAAGAATATATCAAATCAAAACTATTATATACAATGAAGTATATAATAGTTTAAGTGCCTTAAAGATTTCTGTAATCATTATTTTGAGAAACAGATAAACCAGGAAAAATTAAAAGATATTCCTCAATTCTATAACAACACTCATTTGTCACTAAAAAGATAAATTGCAACGGATAACACTACAACTCATATGTTTTGTGAACTAGTCAACGACAGTTCACTCAATGCTTAATAAACATGCTTAACAAACATTTAATAAAGCGTAGATCATAAAGAAGGTTAAAATTATACATAAATCTGATTGACAGATGAGAAGACTAAGGGACACGCAATATGAGCGCAATAAATATAGCCAGTTAACTATTCATTCATAAGACTAAGGGATTATGTAGGCCTGGAATGAATTTTAAAATGTGTTATTTCCTAAATCAATACCCTTAATACAACAAATAGGAATTCAGATAAGCACAAAGAGATTTCACACAAAATCAGCTGGTTAAATTTCAGAATAAATTTAACTGAAGCACTTCAATACATAATATTTTCAAAGTACATTTATCATCAGTTAAGAATAAAAATAGAATAAGATATGCAATAAGAAATATCACAAACCCTTCATGAAGGTGAAGATAATCTATGATTCATCATCAAAACAATAGATTCTTTTCAAAACTTCAGATGTATATCACTTATACATTAACCACTGAATCACATAATCAATTTAAATTTTTTTATATATACTATTTAATAAAATACAGCTGTAGGTAAACATAAAATATGATAATTTGCATTTTTTTTTTTTATCTTTTAGGGTTCATATGTTGTAGTAATTATAGAACAAATTTTCCTGAATTAGTTTTAATAGGAAGACTACGGAAGCAAATATTTAAAAGTACTGCCGTTATGCAAATGTGTATTTGTTAATTATGACTGTGAACAAACATGAACAGGAGGAATGGCAATAACATTTTGTAAATATTGTATATGAGGCAGGTACTTTTACTCTTCTGCAATACTAAAGTATATAAGAATAACGTACTTATTGCAATTCTCACTGTACAGTAAAAACACAACTCATTCATGTTATTTTTTTTAAATTTAAACAATACTAACCTACACAAAACATTCATCCAATTTAAATCTATTATGAAATTAAGAATAATCAATTTAATCAGTTTAGAAAATAATCGGACTGTAATGTTAAAGAGTAGTTAGGCTTATTTGAAGTGAATTAATTATGTTCGCTTATTATTAAGTACCAAGCAAGGTCAAAAACGGCTGTTTAAATTCTTAGTGATATCACAACGGTATCTTTATATGAGTCAGTCATATTAAATACGCAATAATCCTACATAACTTCAAGGACCAGTCAATGACCAGATAAGAGATCAAATACAATTTATTTATAAACCAATAGTCTTAAAGTATATAAATTCAAACTGCATATACTAAATATCGAATCTGGAAAAATAACATTAACTTTTGCTATACAATTAAATAAAATATCTGAATAATTACATAAGATAGAACAAATTGATATATAATTAATCATCAAAATATATATATTGAGTTGATTTTTTCATTTTTCCAAGATTAATTTATTTTTCATAGAAACATTTTATAAAACATGTTTTAAGTATTTACTTTTAATTATTCTAATTAAAAACAATGTTAAATGTAGATCTTACCTTTAAAAAGAAATTATTGTTATCCAATAAGAATGACTAATCAAATTTTGCAGTCCTAAGTTTATAAACAGCAAATAATTCTCTCAGCACTACAGAAAACACACTTTATAACTGAACAGTAAAATATAAATATCATTGGTAATACGAAATATAAAATCAAAAAGTATTAAAACACCAAGTTATACCAGACAACACCTTAAACCCAAAAAATTTACGACCGAAGGGTGAGTAAGCAAATAACCTTCACCAGGAGATGAGAGGTTATGGTAGGCGAGACACTACTGCGCTCAACCTGTTGGATGCTGCACATAAGTGCAACCCTATCTCGATATTGATTCCTCCTTTTTTCCTGTTGTTTTTGAATTAAAATAGAGGAACATGAGGAATTTCGTAATTAGTTTGAAAAGTTATTTTATCACTATTTATTTATTTACAATTAATCTCTGATGTAGGAAAAAATGTTTTGTAAAACAAATGAAAAATGAAATATCAACATATTCATACCAATAATTATTCATACCATTATAATGGAATACATATAATATAAAATAACCTGAACAAATAATTCGTTTAAATCATTAGCAAATTTTCAGGAAATGCGAAAAAACATATTTTCCATTTCAATTATAATATCAAAACCGACATTTAAAAAAAAAAAAATGTAAATCTTTATATGTAGCATGAATTTCCGAAAAAATTTTAACGATCATCAATTAGAAAACATAGAATCTTAGATATCATCTCTTTTGGAAAGAATTAAAATTTTCACGTCCGTTCATTAATTGAAACAATGGTTTAAATAGGCTCAGTTTGGATAGAAAAAATGGTGTATGACTCAGAAGGGAAACAAAATTAACTTTTTGTTGACAATGAAGATACAATAAAATTAATTTAATTTAAATTTTCATCACAATAAACTATTAAAAAAGCTTTTGATCAATTATATATTTTTAAATATTTCAGAAATGCAACTTTCATTACATACATTGAACAAAAAGTTGATTACGTGAATAACTTACTTTCAAAACATTTTGTTTTAAAAATATAGCTTCGTTTTTGAAAAAAAATGATTGTACCATAGGACGCATAGGGTATTTTTACATAGAAATCGATACTTTATCTCGATTTCCAAAAACAAAATCTAATAGAGTTTACTTTGGAAATAAACGCCTCAAATATGCTTGATTCAATTTTAAAAACATTAATTTTTTTTTTCTAAACTTTTGTTTATTTAGAAATATTACATTCTGTCACATCAAGGACATTTATAATAGTGTTCAGAGAGCACACTCACACTCTATTTACAATAAGTAAAAATAAATAATACAGAAACTAATAATAATAAAAATAAATGTATATAAACAAAAGAACTAACCTAATCATACACTTGGGCTTGAGTGGAGGATCTGGCCATTGCCAAAACTCCAATAGATGCTTATTCACAGAAGGTCTCTTGGCCACTGCCGTTTCAACTTTCGACACTAGCGGATCCAGGATTTAATTTTGGGGGGGGCTTCAGCCCGAAACCTTTTTTTTTCCATAAAAATAACGATAATTACTTTGGAAAAACAGAAAGAAACTAACTACCTATATGAAATGGTGTTTAAGTTATTCCTTAAGTACTTTTAAATGTAATTACACGACAATAATACTTTAAGAGGTATTTTTGAAATTTTTTTTCCCATAAAACATGGTTATATTTTTCCATTTTGGGGGGAGGCTTCAGCCCGAAAGCCCCTCCCGTAGATCTGCCCGTGACTTTCGAGGAGGATTGTAAGGATGGGTGGTGCTGGATAGAGATTGTGCAAGGGAATTTGGATGATAGGTAAGGTTCTGGCGAAATTTGGAGAATTTTTCTGGAATAATAAAAATATTATTATAGGGCCACAATCGAGTTAATATATGCATATTCCAAGAATCTTAAACTTTTTCATTAATTGATATACAACTAAATTCTGGCGACGATTCGGGACGTTATTGTTTGCATATTCATACACTACAAAAAAAATAATTAGGTTTTTAGGAATTTCTTTTCGATAATAATTTTTAAACATTATAACGACTAATATTGGGCTACTTTGAGCTACATAACTTAGGTATGATTAAATTGCATTTTAATTTTAATTCTACAGTAATTAAAGTCAGTAATAGTTAATGTGTTTTCTAATTGTTTATCATTTTATTTTTAAATTCAGATAAAGGGACCTGTTCTCCCGGCCATAACCATTACCTGTTTTTTAAAATATTCGGTTTAAGAACTGAAGTTCTTAAGAGAGAAAAAAAAAATGTTATGTATTTATAGATGACAAAATTGTACTTCTTTTTTTATGATTATAAAATACTATATATTGTGATTCATTCCAAAAACACATATGAATCAATGAAAAAACTCTTATTTTGGGGGAAAATTCACTCCGAAAATTTTCCTAGATCTCCTCCGTGGATCCGCCGTACCATTGACCCGTACCATCTCCAATTAAAAAAAAAAATGAATTTTAACTTTGTTAGTAATCGGCCATACAAATATGAAATACAACATTGTCGCTTACCTCAAGTAACAGGATGGCTTCTTGTTGGATGTTCCAAAGAGGTACAACCTCAATCATTCTCCAACCAGAAACATTTCTCAACATCCGATCACCTGCTTTTTTCATATAAATCGCAAAATTTTCGTTCATTCCACTAATCGCTATCTAAGGAAACATTTGAAACAAAGATTGATTCATCGTTTAAATTTCTTTTTACAAATATATATGCTCGTATTTTATTAACAGTGTTATACAATTAAAATAAGCAAATTTTTAATTAAAACTTATACATATGTTATGATTAAAACGTAAAAGGTAGATAAAATACACTGATACTTTTGTATCGAATCTAAAGTAATAATAGTGTACTGAAATCGGAACTGATTGTTTTATCTCTTGGTGGAACGAGGTTTATCATTTCAACTGTGTTAACAAACAGAAATCGATTATCTACGTTTATCAACACTTTGTTAGGTATTTGAAAAAATATGTATTTATTAAACAACCTTGTTATTAAATTTTAAAATATGAATTTTATTCATGCATTAAAAAATGTAGAATAAAGAGCGCACTATATTTACTAACAATAAGTATGGCTTTTAAAAACTATATCATCTTAGTATTTGAACCCAGTTTTGTAATATATATAAATATGTTCCTAAGATGATTATATTTTAAATATTAACACCATAACCACGTTTAAATCATAACAATATTTATGAAATTCATAATCAAACTCGATAGCCCCTAGTAAACACTTGACTGGGTTATTAGTGCCACGACCTTAGGGTTTTGGGGGAAATAATTTATAAAGTTTTTCCCTTCACAAAAGTTTTCTTTTTAGGGTCAGAAATAAGAATAAAAAGAGTTTCCATTTGCCTGGTGGATGAAACATCCGGAAATTTGCGAAAAACCACTCCTCCCATCCCCGCATTTGCCAGTTTGTATCAGTTTTCTTCATTTAACTTCGAATTCATTGATCGGGCGGAAATAATGAATAGGGATGAAAATATCCCTCATAAAATATTACATAACATGTGTTCTATGAATATTTTGGATAGTACATTAAAAAAGTAAATAAGATTTTATCTTTCTGGAAAACCTTGAATAACTTTAATTTTTTCCATATCAGCTAATAATAAAATTCAAAGACAAAGTTGTTGGTAATTCATTTCGGTTACAAAGTTGTGAGTGCTCTATAATAATAGCAAATGACTAAGAAGTAATACAATCTATATATTTATATTCAATTTTTAAGGTTTAAGGGAACAATGAAGTCTCTTTTCATCTGTTTCTCAGAGATAAATAAAGAGAAAATGCGACATCAGTGACTTATATGCGATTTGAACTTTGACTTTTGGATCTTAATAGTATACGATTAATTACATCGTTTGATTTATTTTATATAAATAGAATCTTTTTCTTATAAAAAATATTATTTATAATTTTTGAATAACATAGTAATTGTTCAAGACGTACACAGGCTTTCTTCAGCAGTCCCTTTTAAATTCCTTAACCTTCCTTAATCTTCCCATGGTAGTACCTTATTTTTTACAGGCCCATATTCTTGATAAAATTTATTAATGCCTATCCACTATCGTAAGTTCTACGGTCTACAGTATGTTACTTTTCTTAAGCTGCCCTTGCACCAGCTCATAGACCAACCACCATAGATTATTCATACC